AAGGGTAGAGATTCCTTGATATGAGTGTCAGTGAGGCCAGGGAGTAGGAGTTTTCCTCTGAGGACAGAATAGGAGAATCCAAGCAGAGGGTGTCAGTGGGTGCATTTGTTTGCTGTGCCCAGGGCTGAGGCATGGGTCTTTTGTTTCCCTCCTCCGTTATAGCTAATGGCCACAACCTGGAAATCTTCGCATTGAATTTCACCGTAACCAACCTGTTGTTCGCGGAAGACATGGGTCGCCCCGGTTCGGGCATTTTCAATTCCACAGAGAGACTGGTGCAGCGTGTGGTGAGATTCCACAGCCCCTGCCCAACCCCACTCCTGCACAGAGAGCTTCTCCATTGTGGGGGCTGGAAGGCTGGTTGCTCATTCCTCTTCTTTCCTTGACAGCTTAACCCGTTATTGAAGCAAAGCAGCATTGGGGCCTCATATGTTGAATGCAAAGTGATTGCCCTGAGGTGAGACCTGAGAATAAAATGTGGAGTCCTGAGATCATCTCCTTTGCTTCCCCAGGTTCATGGCCAAGGCTCAGGGTGGGAAAGCAACAAAGGCAGTGTCTCCACGCAGGGTCCATTTCCTCCATTTTCCAATCTGACAGTGGTTTCGTTTCCATACTCTTCATTCCTGGATCCTTAGGAGAGTGATTCCCTTTGTCGTCATTTGGAGCAAAAGCTCTGATGTTGAAATACTTCTCTCCGGGGGAGATGTGTGGCTATCGATCCATCCTTCCCACACAAGTAATGGGAGAGTTTCAGCCTTCATGGACTCACAATCACCCTGTCTCATGTCACTTCATCTCAGTTTGACCGTGCCCGGTATCTCCCTCACGCTAATCTCTCGGCATTAACCTCAGGAGTCTGAACAATTGTTTCCTTCCACAGATCCATGAATCGTGGCTCAGCAACTGCAATAGATGCTTTGTGCAGCCGGCGATGGGAACCAAATACTACCGCTCTAGATAGACAAAAAGTGTATTGGGAACTGAGCAACCAGACCCAAGGCATCACCAGCCTGGGCCCCTATATTCTGGACAAGAATAATTTCTTCCTCGATGGTGAGATTCCTCACTGGGGCAACCATTGACCCCTTTCCCTCAACATTTAGCTCTGTTTTGAGACCAGAGTCCCAACATTAATATCTTTTCCTTTTATCCCTACGCTGACTTAGGCCCTGACCCTCACCAGAACACTAGGTTTCCAATCCTCCCTTGGCCAGCCATCTGCACAAAATGGGCCATGCCCATACCTGTTTCCCTGGTTAACTTGCCCCATTCCTTTTCCTTTTCTGAGTAGTTTCCATTGGTGCCAGCTCCTGGGCTCTCGTTTTGGTCCTGTTATATTCAATATTTTAGCAATCCATTAGATAGAGTCGTGGATGGAAGAAAAGGTATAAAGACAGGAAAGTAGGCCTCTTAATGTCTTAATATGTTAGTGAGAGTTCAAACTCAACAACAATTAGAAAGGTGCATCACACCCAACAGCATACGACACCTAACAAATAGAAGGTCAAATATGGACAAAGAGTTACAAAATAAATTGCCTGACCAGAGGATGATGGGGACATGACCAGAAAGATTTCACATTGGAAGACGATGAGGGTTTTAGCAGATTGAAATCTCAACTTGATCCAATAGGGTGATGGAACAATCCAGTTAGTCCCAACGAAGAGAAATCTAGTCCCTGTGAAGAGGAAGATGGTAGTTCCACTGTCCTCTGGCCTGATCAGCCCCCATTTACAATATTAGGTTGTGTTGTGAGGACACGTGTTTTCAGAAAAAATACGTACAGAAAGAAAATGACCATCACGGCAACTTGAAACGATGCTGTAAAAGGATGGTTTGAAAGAACTAGGTGTGCTTAGTCTACATAAGAGAGGTTTAATGATGGTCTTCAAATATTTAAAGACGTCTAATGGGGCAAAACATATAAAATCCTTCTACTTGGCCTCTGAGAGGGGAATTCCAAGGAAGGTGTGAAAGGTACTGGGGAATGTATTTCAATTCACATTAAGGGAAAATTTTCTGGTAAGTACGGCCATGCAAAAGTAGAATGCAGTTCCTCAGGAAGCAGAGGCTGTGCCCTCACTGAAGGACCTGATGCAAATCTTCAGTGGCATTTTGCTGGGAATGTTATTGGAAAAGTTCTTCCATGGGAAGCTTGGCCTAATTTGAATGAACAAGCCTTCTGCATGCTTGCTATTGTGCACAAGATTCTGCCCTGCTCTTGGAGATGAGTAGGACAGTCAGTAGGTGGCCTTGCCTTGTGCTCTGTTTCTGCAGGCCAGGACACAGCCAAAATGAATTCAGTCAGGGTTCTACTTGCTCCATCTAAATCCCCACAGCTACAAGTGCCCTTATTACCTTTAACCTCACGGTTGAACTTCATGGCAGAGAGGAAGGGAGTGCCCACAAGAATGCTACTCTCCTCCCATAAGCATGTCAATACAACTCAAACTGAGTCCTCAGTTCAGCTCTGGTTCTCATCCTAGTGTCTCTGAAATTTCCTATTTCTTCTTTTCTGATCTCCTTGCCTTCATTCTGTGTTATTTGGCTTCACAGGGTATAGTGAATACCATCCCATGGAACACCTAACCAGTAAGTGTTTTGATATCCAAATCAACTTTGAGTCCCAAGCCTTTTTTTTCTCTTAACTCCTAGAGATGAGCCCCACAATGCCAATGTTTCTTCCACCGTTGTCAATTCTGGGGTCTTTAGAAAGGAATTCTCCACTCACTCCCCTGAAGCCTGCCTTAAAACATAGCAAATTTCCCATCGCGAGAAATAATCATAAGGGC